GATCAAAAGAGACAAAGAAGGGCCTTTGGATGGTTTCTACATCTGCTTTAGAATGCAGCACTCCACCAGGTGCAGTTGCTCACGCCTGTAATCCCAATACTTGGGGAGGCTAAGGCAGAAGGATCCCTAGAGCCCAGGAATTCAAGACTAGCCCAGGCAACATGCTAAGAACCCGTTACCAAAAAAATAAGATAAAGTAAAAATTAGCCAGGCATGTTGGTGTGTACCGATAGTCCCAGCTGCTCAGGAGGCTGAGGCACTAGGATCCCTGAGCGCAGGAGTTTGAGGCTGCAGTGAGCTATCATCGTGCCATAAACTGCACTCCAGCCTAGGTGTCAGAGCAAGATGTTATCTCAAAAAAAAAAAAAAAAAAAGCTGTAATCTGGCACCCAGAGTGGCTATCATACAGTTCTTCTTTTTCTTTCTTTCTTTTTTTTTTTTTTTTTGAGATGGAGTTCCCCGCTTGTTGCCCAAGCTGGAGTGCAATGGTGCAATCTCTGTTCAAGGCAACCTCCGCCTCCCAGGTTCAAGCGACTCTCCTGCCTCAGCCTCCCGAGTAGCTGGGATTACAGGCGTGAGCTATCATACCCAGCCCAGTTCTTCTTCTCTTTTTTTTTTCAGCTTTTTAAAAGATATGAGGTCTTCTTATGTTGTCCAGTTTAGTGGCTATTCACAGGCACAATTACAGCACACTATAGCCTTCAACTCCTGGCTTCAAAACATCCTCCCGACTCAGTACCCAGCACCCCCGTCCACCTCCCCAGTAGCTGAGACTACAGATGCATGCTACCACACTCAGTTTAGCACACAGTTCTTGCTGGGTAATTTGTAGAAGTGTCTTCCCTCTAGTCCAGCCTCCCTAGCCAGTATGTTGGGAACTAGACAGCAGGGAGCTATGTAGGGAAGGAAGGGAACTCCTCCTCTTTTCCCTCTCTCCCAAGATCCCACTTGGATTCCCTAATTAAAGCATCATCAGTATTTCTGGCCTCCTTTTCCACACCCAAGTAACTCTCCCACAGGAGAAGCTGTATCTAATCTGACGTGGGAAAAATCAGTACTCTTATGGGGCCCAACTTTACTGGTGGGGTGACTGTGTTTAAAGGCACAAATGAAGCTGTATGCGATCTCAATAACCTTACAGTAAACAACCCCACGTTTTACATGATTCAACTTTGCATTATATTGAAACACTGAAATGGTAACTGTACCATTGTTCCTTTAATTGAACACTTAGTGTGTGCCAGGAGCTGTGTTGTTTCTGGGGATACAACTTGAGTCTGGAGACTCAACTGCTAACCTCCCAGTGCTTATGCTATAGCGGGTGTCTGCAGAGAGTCAAGATAAGCTGAGAGCAAGGTGATAGCATGGAATAGTGGACTCTAACCACAACTGCCACTGTGAAGACATAACAGGCTTAGCAGCTGAACATCTTGGAACTGCACTGTAGATGGCCTTGAAACATCAATTGCCTCTTTGAATAAGTCTATTTCAATTGTACATTAATCTCCACATTTTTATAATCTAAAATTCTTCTGGGAATTAAGTAAAAAAAGGTAATTCAATAAACTCCAAATTCCTAACTTTGCCCTTTTCTTCTTTTTTGACCAATTTGGCTATCTAAGAAGGTCTATGAACAGAACTTTTTCCCTGCTTACCTGGTGTAAGGTAGGTGTGCAGTCATCCCTTACTGACTTTACTGCTATCATCTAAAGCATCTTGGGAAGGAGAAAGGGCAGAAAGCATGTAGCATGTATTCAGGAAACACAATGTAAAAGAAACCTTTTTGTCCCCAAGTTATCCAGGGTTGAAAATCCATTTATTCAAATAAGGGTCCCTTTGAGCCAAAATACACTTAAATCTGGAATAGTACCTAACAAAAGAGACGGTGAGACAACTTCCAAGGACTGAAAACTACCATGCCTATAACTCCCATTCCTCCCCAAAAGAGTGGCCAGACATTATTCTGTGGAGAAAACATTTACTACTGCAGTTAGTGCTTAAAAAAAAAAAAAAGCCAACTGACGCAATAAACTCAGCTCCTTTAATTTCAAAACATGAACTCATGGCTATCTCAGGAAATATCATCTTACTCTTTAGATTAAATGTTATCCCAAGTCTAGGAGGCATTCAACATTCAGAAAGTAATATACTTTAGTTGGCTTCTCCAGGCTCAAGTTTCACCAAAACAAGTTTCGTACAAAGATTAGCCAAGTACCAGGTAATGGGATATGGCAGGGTTACGTCATCTGTGGCCCATTTCCAAAGAAACATGGTCTTTCCAGGTGGAATTCTAAGTGTTCTCTCTTCTCACTCTTTATAATCTTTGCTTCACCCGTTAGCAGGTTGGTTAAGGACAGATGCATTGAAATAGGCTGCAGGCCATGAGGCCCTGGGCAAGTCGTTTCAGCTCCCTGGGTCCTTCCTTCCTCTACTGTGAAGAAGATTGTTTCGGGCCACTTGTCATGGGGCCTCTTCTTGAACTAATTAACATTCCAAGATTCTTAGTCCTGGACTCTACTTTCCAAACTCCTCCTGTGGCTGTCATAGCATGAAATCCTCTACCTGATCGGTAACATTTAAACGCTGTGTGAATTTTACATTCTGTAAGAATGAATGGAGGCAACTACTTGGTAGATGAAGTCAGCTCATCTCCCACGTCCACTACTCAGCTAAATTTCCAACCCTAACATTAATCCACCCTGTATATCCTCAACCTCTTTCCAGGCACAGAAATGAGAAAAAGAGTGATTCTTACTCTTGATCTGATGATGATGATGATGATGATGAATTTTTGTTGACTGTTTTTGAGGTGTCCGGTCCTGTACTGAGAGCTTTACTTTCATTATCTCATTTAATCCTTACAAAATCCCTATTAGGTGTGCATAACAAATGAGGAAACTGAGGTACAAACAGGTACAATAACCAAATGATTATTCCAAGATCTCATAGATAGTGGTAGAACCCAGGATTTGAATCTAGGTCTGTCTGACACATTACTCTCTCTTATACTTGGAGTGATCAAGTGCAACTATAAATGCAACTTACTCTGCCCAAGACAGGATCAATTTACAACTGTATCTCAACTATCAATTATCAAAGGGAATGCAATTATCATTAGTACTCTCACTCTCAGAAGTGGCTTGGTTTGGATAATAAACTGTATATTCACCTGGCATGATACTTCCCTCAGGAGTATCAATAATGACAATGATGATGATAATTGTTACACAACATTCATGTCACTGTTGCAATAAATCCCCTCTTGACCATCCTACATTACAGGTAACCTCCACCATCCTCCCTACCCTTCTCATCCTGCTATATTTTTCATAAAAATTAATCCCCATAAAAAGTAGTATGTTTTGCTTATCATCTCTTTCTTCCAGTAAAATATAGGTGCAAAACTTTTCTTGTTGTTTACTCATATATTCCCTAGTTCCTAGAAGATGTTTCATAAATACGTGTTGAATAAGGTAGCATCATCATCATCATCATCATCAATATAACAATGGCTAACTTTTTTTTTTTTTTTTTTTTTTTTTTA